CTCTGGTACAGATTTATTTTATATAATGGATAAGTTCTATGATAACGTCTTTCTAAAACAAGTATGCCACATCAGTCTTCTGACAATTTGAAATAAACATGCTTGCATTTCTAGGTCTTTGTTTCTTTCTTTCCTTAATTTGTTCTTTTATTAGAGACCAAACGATTTGTATCGTGCTCATTTGTGACTCTTTTTTTAATAAAAATAATAAAATACATCTTTACACTCAGTTTGGTTATATTTCCAATATTATGATGTTTGAAGGTGTTTTCAGAAAAAAGCTACTTAACCAAGCAGGTTTACAGGTTGACTTCATTGTCAGACTGACTGAACAAACTCGAAAATGGTGTAAAAATATGATCCAGTCAAATCTTCTACTTGTTAATCCTAAACAGAAGTCATCACAAACATAAAGACACTTTTCTTTTTGAGACCATTAACCTTTGTAGGATGTCAAAAACATCAAATGCAGTTTGATTATTCTGTTGAAATGGCACCAGCTGTTAAATATTTCGACTATTTTCACCTGTGTTCTGAGAGGTTTCTCAGCGACACAACAGCAACAAARGACAAGACAAGACATGGAAATTTAGTTCTTTACATCTAAACTTTGATTAATGCTCGAGTTTAAAACAACATCACTGCACTACATGAACTGTTTTGTTGATATGCACACAAAAGTTGTTCTGGTATTTGTCAGTTTCTACTGTTATCCCGAGGCTCTAAGCTGCTGTGTGAGGGGCTCTATGAACAACATGCACACACATGCAGGGTATGCTCTGAGCTTCAACAAAATGAGTCCCTCACATGACMCAAAACCCACAAACAGTTTGCTTTATCTGGAAAAAAATAAAAATAAAGTTATAAGGATAAAATACAATAAAATCCTTGTCAGGCAGCAACGCTGTCTTGAACACCAGAACATATTAAACTGTTGTTTTTTTTCAACTTTTTATGTATTTATTTTKTCACTTTCAGAGTTMTGTGAAAAGGTATGAGCTAAGCAACACAAATCAAGAAAACTGATGCATATTTTCACTACGCATTAAACAGTGGTGAATGTATCAAAATCAAAAACCAAGAGGCTTCACGTGACTATCACTTGGCTCACTGATATATAAGACGTAATTTACAGCACAGCCAGTTTATGATGCCAGGTATCAGCATGCCCAAGGCCCCGCCCTCACATGCTACCCAGCTCCCACAGGTTACCCAGCCCTGACAGGTGGTGGGCCCACCACCTGTGGGGAGAGTCATCAAGCGYTCTGGAGGCGTTCGATCRGGACACMCCMTGAGCGACTTCTMTGSAAAGTTTTCTGGGCACATCAAACTKGGAGGAGACCCCAAGGCAGAGCCTGATCTCACTGGATGAATTATGTATCCTATTTGGTTTGGGAATGTCTTCAGAGCCCCCAGGAGGAGCTGGGGAGGAGGATGTCTGTGTTTCCACCTGACTTCAGATAAAAGGAAGCCGATAGACAGATGGATGGAAATCTTATTSTGTGAAGACACTTACATAACTTGAATTAGCCACTTGTAGCTTGAACTGATGGAGAGTGGTAGTATTTATACAGCTGGTAAAATAAGTATTGAACACGTCACCATTTTTCTCAGTAAAGTAACAACCCAAGTGATCCATACATACAAAAAAATCAAATCATAAATGTCCAGAAATGAAGTTATTTGTAATAA